TAAAACATAGTAACGTACCTTTGAGAGGATGCCAACTGTTTTGGATACTTTTTGGGCGTGTGCTGGATATGGGTGTTGAATTTTTGGGCGTGTGCTGGATATGGGTGTTGAATTTTTGGGCGTGTGCTGGATATGGGTGTTGAATTTTTGGGCGTGTGCTGGATATGGGTGTTGAATTTCAAGATGCAGACCCAGAAATTTATCCTCATTATGTTTAGCATAATGTTAAACATTATTGTTAACCCTTTGAGGGTCGCCAAGCCCTCTCAGAGACTTGTTCTCAGGGTCGCCAAAAAAAAAAAAAAAAAAAAAAAAATCTAATGAAAAGATAGAGAATCTTTTCCCGATCATAATGACACCAAAAGTATGAAATTTGATGTAAAACTTACGGAATTATTGCTCTCGCGAAGTTAGCGGTTTTGCCCAATTTGAGCCCATTTTCGGCCAATTCCAGTTGTACTAGTCGACATTATATTATTATAATCAAAGGGGAAAGGCTAAACCCGGAGGATTATACAGCGCCTTGGTGGGGGGGATGTGGAAGGCATTCAGGCTTAATTCGGGGAACTGGAGCACAGATCCAATTCCCTAAATCAAGAGCCCCTCACCAACATCAAGGAACCTTCCTTGAGAGGATACTAGTCGACAAAAATCATAACTATTTCGCTAGAGAACTTCTCGAAACTCCGGTTTTTTCTATCAAATGAGTACAAGAAACCACCCATTTACCGATTTCAACTATCCAATAAAGTGATCAGAATTTAGCAATTTTGCCAATTTCACACAAATTTCAAAAGATACCAATTTCCAAATAGGGTCCAGAATAAACAAGAAAGACATTCCTGGCACTAAAATAACATTTCCTCTGTTCATTAGTCACGTCCCCACGCCCCTCTTACATTTCTTTTGCCTTCCACTTTGAATTTTTATTCTCACAAAAAAAAAGAAGATTTACTGTTATGCAGACTACTGTATTAGTGTAGAAATGGTATAAATAATATCAGCGCACTTGTGAAAGATTATTAGATTCACCAGTTGACGTGTATTGGAAGTGTGGCATGATTTGTTTACTTTTGAACTTTGGCAAAAATCCAACATTTCTGCTACTTTGAGCTCAATTTCAAGGTACTTTTCATTGTGAAACCAGTCAAAATCATCTCAATTCCTGTAATATGTCTTCCATTCTATAAGATAAGACCAGGAAAACTAGAATACAACAATAAATACCATACGAAAATACAGTGCAAAATCGGTCTTAATCCAAAAACAAAGTTTTTTTTTTCTCATTATGCACTGTGTGCTGCAGGATTTTTTTTATACTGTGCACATGACCATATAGACCCATTCTTTCATATGTAGGCCTACCAGCTTTTTCTTGCTAGATTTGAGGGCGCTAGAACTTGTGTGTACTAGTACGTCAAAAACCCTGGCGTGTAAGCCGTACTAGTACGGCCGAAACCCCGAAAGGGTTAAACATAATGTTTAGGTGGACCTCATTTGTTCTGCTCTTAAACATAATGTAGAAGGTATTCTCAATATTAAGTGTAAGTTTACGGACAGTTATCCAGGTTTGATATTTTTATGAGCTCTTCTTTTAACAGTAGTGTCGAAGGAGGCAAGATTAGGGTTGGAGACGACAAAAGTCGTGTCATTAGCAAAGAGAATAGGCCCTAAGTTGCTGTGATATGCATGGAAGGTCGCTGATGTATAAAAGGAAAATTAGGGGGCTAAGAACACTTCCCTGTATTTCCCACCAGTGTCTTAGGAGTCTTATTGAGGAGGTTGTGTCCTTAATAGAGATGTATTGCTATTAGTAAGGCACAACTTGATATATGCAAGCGCATGGCTCTTATACCGTAATGATCAAACATGGGGAGTAGGATGCTGTGGTCTACTGTAGCAAATGTTTTCTTAAGGTCGACAGAGTCCAAGAGGGTATTCATTTTTTCGAGTGCTGTGTAAAGTAGGTCTAGCATTTTAATTATTGAATCTTTTGTGCTTTTGTTTTTCCTGAAGCCAAACTGGGCAGGGGTTAAGGATGTTTTGTGATGCTATGAAGGAGTGTAACCTTTTGTGTACGAGCTTCTCAAAGAGTTTGGAAAGTAAAGGCGAGTTTGATATTGGCCTATACAGTGGACCCCTGCCTTATGATATTACTTCATTCCAGAAGTCTGTTCGGGTGCCGTTAGAGAGCAAATTTGTTCCCATAAGGAATATTGTGAATTAGATTAGTCCGTTTCAGACCCCCAAAATACACATACAAAAGCACTTACAAAAATACACTTACATAATTGGTCGAGTTGGGAGCTGATCGTAAGGCGGGGGTCCACTGTACAGTGTAGATGTTTACATCTGTTGGGTCACCATGAAGCATATTATGGTATGAGGGATAATGAGTCTTGTGAAAGTTATCCCATGTGTTCTAACAACGGAACATTTAACCCTTTCAGGGTCAGTCCCGTACTTCTGCCGTGAAGCCAGGGTCAGTCCCATAGTTGTACTGTGAAGCCAGGGTCAGTCCTGCAGTTGTACTGTGAAGCCAGGGTCAGTCCCGTAGTTGTACTGTGAAGCCAGGGTCAGTCCCGTAGTTGTACTGTGAAGCCAGGGTCAGTCCCGTAGTTGTACTGTGAAGCCAGAGTCAGTCCCATAGTTGTAGTGTGAAGCCAGGGTCAGTCCCATAGTTCTACACCATGAGCTTAGCTCACTCGGATAAGCTGTGAGTGGTAAATTTGGCCTAGATATGAGAAAATGAGTCTATGCAGCAAGTGTGGCCCCATATAAAAAAAAAAATCCTGCAGCAAGCTGTGAATAATGGAAAAAAAAAAATGACCATGTTTTTGGCTTAAAACAGCAACTTTGTGTATTTTCTCATGGTTTTAATGGTTTACTCTTGGTTTCTTGGTCTCATTTGACAGAATGGCAGATATATTACAGAAATAGAGATGATTTTGATTGGTTTCCGGCCTGAAGTAGCTTTGAAATTGTTCGATTTTCGGCGATATTCCAGAGTACCACAAATGACGTCACTTGTCCAATATGCGTCCAGCTTGCCAGTTTAATATGTACACATTTAGGAATACACTGAAATTTATACAATTATTACAATTGTCTGCATAACAGTAAATCTTGTTTTTTGAATAAAAATTCAAAATGGATAGCAAACGTTAGAGAGGCCAGGGATGTAACTAATGAACAGACGAATTTTTTTTTTTTTTTTAGTGCCAGAAATGTCCCGCATTGTTTATTTTGGACCCTATTTTTAAACTGGCAATGTTGAATTGTGAGTGAAATTGGAAAAATTACCAAAATGGGAGGTTTCTAGTACTCAAAACGAAAGAATAAAAGGAATACTAGTGAGACAGCTATGGAGTTTGGTAGACTAGAACAATGGAATTGGCTCAAAATGGGAGATGTGGAAACTTCGCCAAAAAACCCTTTTGTGTAGTTCCATAAGTTTTCTATCAAATTTTGTTTCTTTTGGTTTCATTACCTTCGGAAAAAGTTATTATTTTTATTTTAGGGACTTTTTCCTTACGAAAGTTCGGATTTCTGAGTTTGCGCTACTACCCGCAACATCTGAGCTTAATTCTTTATTAAAAAATGACCAACAAACAGTGACCCAAAAAACACAAAAATTTCACAGGACTTTATTTCATATTTTTCCCTTTGATGTTCCTTTAAGTGAGATAAACAATCATCACAAAGAAATTTTATATATGTACACTTTAAACCCTTAAAAAGGTCCAAACGTTTTATATACGTTTTTTTCAACATCTGAAAGTATGTAAAAAAAAGCAGATCTTCTTTTTGTTTTTTTACATTTGAAAACTTGTAAAAAAAAAAAATTTTATCTACATTTTTTTTGTTATATTTGAAAAATATGTAAAAAAAAGTAGATCTATTTTTTGTAGCAACGAATTTGAAACGTCGATTTGGTTTTGGGCCGTTTAAGGGTTAAATACAACTGAGGTGAAAGTAACGGGAAACTTGTAACTTTCTCTTGTACTTTGTTTATGGTAAAATCTTCCTTGATGGATTGTCTCACAGGATTACTGGGTAAGTTAGGTAACATATCTGTGGTGGAATAGTCAGAACCAATTTGAACAAATGTGAACATTGGTAGAGAAAAAAAAACTATATTTCAGCTGGTTTTTAACCCGTAAACGGTCCAAACGTAAAAATAGTTTTTTTTTAATTTAAAATGTGTAAAAAAA